TGAACAGAGTTCTGTTCTTTAAAGGAGGCCTTCCGTGGTCAAGTTCAAAGGCAGGTGGAACGTTTATTCCACCCAGGGTGACCACTACAGGTTAAACAAATGTTCATAATTAATTTAAATAAATTACAAGTTAAAGGGGGCATGGACATTTCTCTTTTTTGTATCGAAAAATTATTGAAGCGTGAGACTAAATTATCGAACCGAATCGTGAATTTTCTGTATCGTTGCAACCCTAGTGCATATATATGTATACACATGTACTGTATATTTAAGGTGTGTGTATGCATAGGGACAGTATACTGAGAGTCATTGAATATAGGTAAGTATAAGCCTTGGCTTCAGCCTACTCCGTTTTTGGTAAATTATGGATTTGTATTTGTAAAATTGTTTCATTTTGTTTTCTTTTCTTGTTATGTAAATTTACCAAAACAAATCTAAATCTGAAATACTGTCGCTGACAATTAGGGACAGATTTCAGCAGCTGAAAGAAAATTTCAAACTCAGGCCTTGTTATGAGTGTTCCTGGTCTGCCGGGTGTAGCTGGAGGAGAGACTGGAACCACTGCAATGAATACTGAAAACAGGGTCTGCAGTCTGGTGGACTGGACGGACCCCCCTCCTCCCGTCCACTCTCTCCTCTGCTGAATCCCTCCACACAAAGAGGGCACTGTACAGGCTCTGTTTATAACTAAGCAGTCCCTGCACTGCAATTTAGGAGGCGTGCAGCTCAGGAAATTGCTGGCCTCTGCCGAGGCATGCTTTCACTGAGGGAATGGTATTCATCAGCCAAGTAATTGGTGGGTTATGTTTTTAAATACCTTGTTGGTAATTACCTTATAAACAAAATAACACATCGCTAAACCTGAAGCCTTTTTCTTCTTCTTTTGACGTGACAAGCTGTGGCATTGATAATATTGAACAATTTGTTGCACGCAGCATCGACCAAAAAAACAGTAAAAAACAGAGAAAAAAGTGAGGAAGAGTTTGATGTTGGGAGGTAAGCTTCGGCTTCACGAGTTCCTGAGAGTTTGTCCTTTTTTTCATGCCACGGTCTAATTTAGGGACTTGGCTGTTCGTGTATCTGGGAACATGAAACTGTTGTGCGCCGCTGTTCAAATATCGGGTATTTTTGCAATTTATTGGAGCAAATGGCATCTGTGTTTTCAGAGCAAACAACAGGATCACCAGGATTTCTGAGGAGCAGCTCAGACCCTTCCTCGCCCTCCAAACCCTGGACCTCAGCAACAACAAAATCACTGAGATAAAAGCCGACTCCTTCCCCGCTCTGCCGCTCCAGAACCTGTAAGATTAGCTTCATTTTTAACGTTGTGACCAAAGCGTTGAAAGAAACATATTAAAGAAAAATCTATCCAGGTTCCTCAACAACAATCGGATCTCCTCGCTGGAAAGCCGATGCTTCAGCAGCCTGTCCAGCACCCTGCAGGTTCTTCAGCTCAACCGGAACCGCATCTCCACCCTCCAGAACAAGAACTTTGAGCTGCCTAACCTCCACCACCTGTACGCTCGTCCTCTTACAATTATTTTGCTTTCATTATGGTTCGGATGGCCTTGACGAAGYGGTTTTGTGTGTTTCAGAGAGCTGAGCAGAAACCGGATTCGCTGCGTGGAGGGCTTGATGTTTCACGAAATGGTCGCTCTTCGCTCCCTGAAGCTGCAGAGGAACGGTCTCAGACACCTGAAGGACGGCGCGTTCTACGGGCTCAGCAACGTGGAAGTCCTGTAAGTGACTCGCCTYGTTTCTAAAAGCCGTCAGCGTGCGGCGTGAAGGAGTCACGGTGCTTGTCATGTCCGCAGGGAGATGGACTACAACAACCTGACGGAGGTGAGCAAGGGTTGGCTGTACGGCCTGCAGTCTCTGCAGCAGCTCCACCTCGGGTACAACTCCATCAGCAGGATCCAACCTGACATCTGGGAGTGCTGTCAGAAACTCAGCAAACTGTGAGTCCAGTCCCTCGCCCACGCCCAGAACTCCCAACACTTCCACCATTTCTCATTATTTTTAAGAACGTGCACATGTCCGTCAGATTCCTCCGCCTCKTCCCTGGGAGCTGATTGGATTTCCTTTGTTGTGTCTGTTTACAGCAGTGCTCAGTGTTTACCACGCATGTGGCATATTTTCACTGAAAGATTGGTTTTGATGTGTGTGTTTGTATCCTTTTCTGCCTGCCTTGCTTTTATCACATGAACCTGAGAGTAAACAGAGCTGCATGTGTGCCAAGAACGTGTCCAGAGATCTGATTTCTTCTCATCTGAGTTTACTTTATAGAAAACAGCGGCATGCTTTCAATTGTTTGTTTTCTTCTTTTTGGTATCAAGAGGCTTGTTATTGTATTTCCTCCTTAAAAACAAGTGAAATGCAACAAGTTCCATGTTTAAATTCTTGGCTTCGCTCTCTTCTCTGAATACCTTGAAGGTTTTGACGGTTTGCTAAAAGTGTAGTCTGCTTGTCTGCTGCTGTTCTAACTTCCTTTTATGATTTTCTGTCCCTCGTGCAGCAACTTGTCCTCGAATCATCTGTCCAGGCTTGAAGAATCCAGCTTTGTTGGTTTAAGCTTACTGGATGAGCTCCTCATTGGAAACAACCGTGTGAGCTTCATCGCAGACGGGGCTTTTCGTGGCCTCTACAACCTGCAGATGCTGTAAGTTTCATGCAACTTCTTTCATTTGACGGTTAGACGTGACATTTGTGGAGTCTTTTATTATTTAAGAGAAGGCAACTGTGGGGTTTCTCCAAGAGACTTTTTGGTAGGTCCTGAAATGTTACACATGTGGACCAAATTTCATGACTCTGAATCCAAGCATGGCCTGGAGCTGATTTTTAAAATAATTGTAGGGGGCGCTGTGGGAGAATTAGGCCACCCACGCCCCCCCCAAAATTGTACTGCAGTCTTGTAGTGGGGTGAATTAGGATCAAGCGTAGCGAATCGGGTGCAGATTGATTGAAATATGTGGAATTTAGAGCCAAACGTATGTAAACGGCATGATGTCTAATTTCGCCGCACCGCCATKACCACGCCTTTCACCAAAAAGTGTTTGTGCTCGAAAACAAGTGAGATCAACTTATCGTCTGTGTTCTGACATAATTTGTTGCTGATTAGGTCGAGAGGATCAGAGATGGAGCTTTCCAAGCCAAAAAAAAGTCACTTCCTGTTGTCAGGGGGCGGGGCTTTGATAATGTCATATGACCACATGTTATGGTCGGGCATCGATGGATGACTCATACCATATTTGGTGTATATTTTWGCCTTTCTACGTGAAAGTTACAGCTTTCTGAAATTGTAACGGACGGATAGCAACAAACTTTCACTAAAGGTAGCAAAAAGCTAATTAAAAGCTAACGCATCAAAAGGCTAATTAAGACTAAATTAGCAGAATTTTAGACTTTTTAGAGTTGCTTTTGGTTGTGTGGGTTGGAGGGTGGGGTGGGGTATTTTATGTATTTTTTAATTGCAAAATGTTTTATTTTATATATTTTTTTTACTCTCTAATTTCTGTTTTACTGTTGGATGTTGTTTTGTTTGTACTGTTTGATGGGACTACAGATGCAAATTAGCCTTAGGCTAAATCTGGTGCAATGCATCAAATTATGTTTTAATTGCACACTGTCCCAAACAAGTTTGTTTGTTCATTTGTTCGTTCGTTCGTTCGTTCGTTCATTCTGGATCCCTGCAGCTGCTGGCCTTGGTCGGTCAGCAGTTGTCAAAACTTCTCGGGATGCATATGTCAACAAAAGGCTTGATTTCCCCCACTCCCTATCCCCATATCATCAGTGTGGATCAGTCTGAAGGCTGTGGTGATGGAGAAAGGGGAAATCCTGAACTCTGGGACTGAGCTTGGGAGGATAAGATCTGGTCTCTGGCGGGTCCTGGTCTTGGATTGGTTCTGTTGAGGCTTTTAGCAGTAACTTTGAGAACAAAAGGTCAGAATAAGGGGTCACAAAAACAACTTGTAGAA